TCACATGCAGATATCAAACAAGTATTTGATAAGGTAAGATCAGATCATTTATTGATAAAAAATGGAAATATGTATTTTATTAAATTGTACATATTCATTATTAGCACGCAAATAAGTACATATGTTGACCATGAAAGCATTTTCAAATTAAAACAATTTAAACAAATGGCATCTGAAATATTTCCCTAGAGTAGAAATCAGCCATAAAATAACTCCACTAGTGGCAAAAATGATTTCATTTTTGTCAAAATCGGTATGTTAACATTTTACATTTTTATCACATACATATTGTAGAATTTGGTCATCATAACATAAAAATATGGACTTAATTTACTTGTTTTATTAAAACAGCTACAACATGCATCATAGAATAACATCTGAAAGTAGAATGTTTTTGAAAAATGTTTGCCATGATCTATGCAAAATTGAAATAAAATGTCATAATATAGAATTTTGCTCATAATTGCAATAGCATAACCTAATGGCAAAGCTACTATTGTTTTATCCGTCCATCTACAAGCATATACATAAAACATCTTCAATACTTGTACCAAAGCTTATTGAAATAAACAGATCAATGTATGTTAGTTTAAGTATCCCACACATAAACATATTTTAACTTTCTAGACATTGTTAGATTTAAATACAAAGGATAGTTAAAAAACAACATCTAAAACAATTATATTTCAGCTATTTAAAATGATAACAAAGAAAACTAGAGGCAATTTTTTTTTGTAACAAAATAATTCAGTTAAATGCAATATTATTATGATCCCTTTTCAATAAGCGATAAATATTATCATAGTCGACCCAAAGTGCAGTTAAAACAGGCCCCAGGTGCAGGCACAGCAGACATCTGACTTGAGCGCCAAATGTCTGTGAAAATCATTTTGTTGCCAAACAAAAAAAAATGTAATACTAAATTCAGGGGGGGAGGGGGGGGGGTTGCGTTGCTTAGGTGTGCGTAGTTATAGGGACTGTGTCACAAAAAAATGTCAGATTATGACGTCATTACAGTATATTTTATTTAATTTCTTCTTCTTCTATATAGTATGTTTTCTCTTGATTTGATTTTTAATATAAGTGTTTTCAAGTTGTTTAGACTTATTGGAGAATGACTAACATTCTTTAATGTATTTAGAGAACAAAATATTTTGAGTGATTAAATATTACAGCAAAGAAATGTGCTGAAACTGTTTGATGTTGAACCAGATTTACATCTACGGCAAAGTTTAAGAGTGATTCACAATAAAATGCAGCTTGATTACGAGTCTAATCTTTTGGAAATTCTTAAATTTTTTATAGTGTTGAAATGTGAAATGTTATAGCTGATGTTTAAATCTGTGACAGAAAGTTTTGAGATAATTAAAGATTTACAACAAGTGCGAAATGTCAAGGTTTACAAAATGTCCAAACAGACCCGACCACCTAGAAGAATAATGTGAATCAAATCCTCATTTCTGTGCTCAATTCTTTTGCTGCCCACGGATACTACTTCTAAGCTAAGTGCTCTTTTTTTTTGTTATACCGTTTTTTCTCTTGTTTCTTTCGCTGACGAATTCTTTCTCTCGACACGTTCGTAGTTTTGTTCCTTCCTTTCTTTCAGGTTTAACCCAACTTTGTTTTTTCTCATTTTATATTCTTAAACCTAACACAAAGCGTTCAATTCAGTGGCTGAATGTTTTACTAAACATGTTGTTAGGAAATTTGGATTGAAATTGTGTTGAGTATTTAAGTTAGTGTTGCAGCTGGAGAAATGAGTTTCTTTAAACTAAAGTTGATCAAACATATTTAAGAGCATGCATGACAATGGACAGACTCACGATTTTGGTTTTGATTTATAATCAAAATGATGTGGCCTGTCGACTACATTATGGAAAAATCTTTTTTTTTTTGTAGCGTTTAAAAGTCTGAGAAATGTGCAAGAATAGTATACTAGTTATGATACATATTGAGATTTTTTTTATCAATTCAAAACGTTTTAGGAAATCATGGTTGCTCATAAAAGACAAAAGAAAACCGCAAAATGTTGGGGTAGTGTGTGTGGTACATGCGAAATGATGTGGACAAGGGATGGTGTTGGAAGAGAATTTTCCGAAAATCAAAAAGTTAGAATTAAGTTATAAATTTGCTTTAGGCAAATCAGCGCATAATTAAGTATGATTAACATGTTTTTTTTAAATATTTTGGACGCCCTCTATGGCTGATGTATTTTTTTAAAATGTGTATAATCTTCAACCCCTAAGACGTGATAAAAAATGTATGAGGGAGATCACTCCAAATAGTTCGTGACTGTTTGTCAACAAATTTGTAAATTTCTGGTTTTGGCTTTTTTTGTTTTTTTGATAATTTCTACTAATTTTCTGGTCTGGATGAATTTTATGGAATAATTATAAAGTTTCAGGTTTATTAGATTTTTAAATCTAGTGAGTACTTGCTCTTTATAATTAGCATTTTTTTTTGGGGGGGTGGGGCATTCCCAGTGTATAATAAAGCATCATTATCATCATCATGTCCCTTAGTCCTTGGACCATTGGGGCGCCACAGATGACATGTGAACCATCCTACTTCATTCGTCTCTGTTTTCTGCACTACTTACAGCATCGCCCAGTGCTAGTCTTGTCCACTCTTTGATGTTATCCTCCCATTTTTTTCTTTGTCTTCCCCTTCTTCTCCCTCCTCTTGTGGTTCCTTGCAATATTTCTTTGGCGAAACCTTGTTTCCTTGTTACGTGGCCGTACCATTGTAGTTTGCAGTTTTTTCACAGTCACCAATACGTCATCGTACTCCCCAATTGCCTGGCGAACCCTTTCTTTCACTGTATCATTGGAGATATGGTCCCTATAGCAGATGCCAAAAATGCGTTTGAAGCATCTCATCTCCATCGCCTTATTTTCCTTTCAAGATCGGCTGTTAATGTCCAGGGTTCGCAAGAATACAGGAAAATGGAGAGGACTAATGAGCGCATCAGCCTGGTTTTGGTGCTGGGGGCTAGATTTTTGTCATTCCATATTTTCTTGAGCCTCTTTAGTGCTGTTTGTAAACTGCGCAATCCTGGACATAAGTTCGGGCTTGGAGCCTTCTTCTGAGACTATTGCTACTAAGTTTTTGAAGTGGCCTACAGTCTCTAATCTTTCCTCCCCGACCTTAATTTCAGCGATGATGCCTGCGGTATTATTTGTCATCAGTTTTGTCTTTTCGGCACTGATTAGCATGCCGTATGACGACGAGGTCTTATCGAGACGCTTTACCAGGTCGGCTAGCTCTTCTTCGTTCCCAGCCAGCACGTCTACGTCGTCCGCAAAGCGTAGGTTAGTGATTGTTCTGCCACCAATGCTGACTGTCCCTTCATGCGCTTCCAGAGCATCTGAAATAATTCTCTCTAGGAAGATGTTGAACAGGGTGGAGAGAGATTTTAGCCTTGTCGTACTCCAACCATGGTCTTGAACCTTTCTCCGATGTTATTGTTGAGGAAGACTACACTATATTGCCTTATCATAGAGGTTGCATATCATGCTGGTTAGGTTTGTGTTGATGTTGTAGTGCCTCATGGTGGCCAAAAAAGCAGTATGCCAAACCCTGTCAATTGCTTTCTTGAAGTCAACAAAGACGTGGTATAGGTTTTGTTGGTGTTGAGCATATTTCTCACATAGTATTCGGAGGTTTAGAATCTGCTCAGTCCTTATCTGAAGCCGCCTGTTCTTCAGCAGTTATTCTGTCGGCATATGGTTTTAAACGGTTCAATATGACTTTTAGCATGACCTGCTTGGATGGCTTATTAAGCTAATTGTGCGATAGTTTTGGCATAGCTGTAGGTTACTTTTTTGGGGGAAGGTGACGATGAGTGATTGGGTCCATGGTTTGGGCCCTTCTCATGTAAGCCAGATTTGGTTAAAAATATTGAATAGGGCACTTTTCATTGCTTCTCCTCCTTGTTTCACCAACTCGGCAGGGATATTATCCACTCCTGCGGCCTTTACTGTTTGGAGTGCATGGACTGCTGCTTCTACTTCTGCACTGAGAATAGGGTAGTTATCATTGTCTGTTGCTGGAAGGACATTAAGGATCTCTTGTTCTATCTTTACACTTTCAGTACAAATCTCTGAACAGTATTCAATCCATCGATTGGTGATATCATTTTCTTCGGTCAAACATTTACCATTTTTTATCCTGAATGGTAGTACTACGCCCTTGTTTTGCAGTGGTTAGTTCTTTAACCTAGTTGGTAAGCTTTTTTGCTATTGTTTTTCTTCAAGCAATTTGCAAAGTCTTAGCATTCCTCTTCAATCCAGTTCTTCTTTGCCCTTTTCATACCTTTTTTTGATGGCTTGATTAACTCTCCTATATTTAATGGCCTCCATCTGTATTTACAATGTTTGTTTTCTTTAACTTCCTCCGTATAATAAATGTTAGAAAAAAAAATTACATCAGAAAGTGGTAAAAAAAAAATGAGGGTCTCAAAAATTGCTAAGGCCGGCAAATGGTAACGTCGATTTTTGTGTTGTTAAATTTGATAAAAATACATTGGCATTCTATTTTTAATAAATTAATAATATAAACGAGATGGACTTTTAACAGCTTAGAAAATGTATTTTTACTTTTCCGAGGGTCTGTCAAATAAAAACCTAAAAAAATAACGTGTTTGGTTTTTTTTACATTTCATATTGCTAGACAAATATTAATATCACTAGTTTAAAAATGGTATTTAAAATATGCATGGGAATAATAAAACATGTATAGCAACAAAAAAATAATGTGAACAGTAATAAAATGATAACGTTAATAACCATGAAAACTTTGATAAGAATCTCAAACATACACGAATGTAAAAAAAAAAAATTTAAAGGATAAAACTTTTTTTTTTAAATTTCATTTACAAAAATGAGAGCAGACACCAACAGATGAAGAGTTCATATTTCTTTACACTCGAGAGTGTCACAACAATAGGAGTGTCTCTCAATAGAGCTATCAGATCAACGACACAGTTCGTTTGGTTTATGTTAAAAAATTTTCTTGAATGTTGCTGAAAATTTTGAGCTCATGATTAAATAGATGAAAAAATTTAAAGACGGGCTTAGTTGAAAAAGAATTTGATTTAATGTCTGCAAAACAATGTAATACTTTGGTGACATGTCACCTACTTGTAGATATTCATTTTGGCTAAATAGATCGACAGCAACAGTCGGAATACTTGAGAGACAAGACAACATACACGCTGTCAGCAACATTTTTACAACTTGCATGTTTCGATGGTTCTTGGTTTTGATTTTGGCTTGTGACAAACGTGACCTTGAATTTCTTATCAATTTTACAATAATCATTAAACAACAAATTGTTGTTACAGATACTGGAACAATTGAGAGTAGGTACATTAAAACGATTGTTTGATATAAACTTATTACGTCCATATTGGTTTGAACAAAATTTGTTTGAGCAATTACAGCATAAGAGCTGTTACTTGACGGGTCTTGTAACCAGAGAGGGTAAAAAAATGAAACTGAAATTATAGTGGTTGCCAATGAATAAACGTATAAAGAGAAAAGTACACATTTTATGCGGAAAGGTGTGCAAATCCTAGACACGTGAAAAGGAAAATACACAGCAATCATTCGTTCAAATGAGATGAGTGGAATTGTGCAAAAACTCATAACGATAGCAAAATTATAAATTTCGACAACGTATATGTTAATATAAGTAAAAAATGTTGTCGCAAAATAATAATCGACATTAAAAATAATGTAAGGAAAATGCATAACTAGAATAGCTGTTGACAAGATGGCGTCCGATGCTGCTAATGACATCATCAATATTTGTGGTGTATCCCTCAACCCCTGACGGTACACAACAGTGATGACTAAAATGTTTCCTATAACCCCAATCACCGCCATAACAATGATTAAATAACCATTGAAGACTATCTTCACCCAGAGATACACTTCTAACGGCACATCGTAAATGTACTTTAGTCCTGTCGCGTTATGATGATTAGTTAAAGTTTCGATATGAGGTGTTGAATTTATGTATGACATTCTTTCATTCAGTTTTACCCGAACTAATGTTGTTTGATTTCTTTTTTTTTTTAAATAATAAGAAACAATCTATAAGATCATATAAACAGAGAGTTTGTTTGTTTTTAATAATCTGAAATAAAAATTTTAAACAATTTAAATTTAGGAAGTCATGCACTCTCTGGTTGTTATTTCAATATATAACTAAAAATGATTCTATTGACTAGAGACAGAGCGGGAAATATTCTTAAATCGATTTTTGGGGATTTAGCAGGCTTTACTTAATCGATCACAATCTTAGCACCAATATCCCGATCTAAGATCTGCCTTGAAAACAATGTTGTTGTTTTTTTTGGTCAATATTACAAAGACACTTTGCTTGCTCACGCGCAAATAATTTTTTTTTTATGAAATGAATATTCTATGACAAAAAAGATAGACTTGTTGGTTTTTTTACATCAAGTGTAACATTAAATTTCTACGGGACAGATTCCACATGAAGGATTCACATAAAAAAACTTTCTCTTTAATAGATGAGAACATAACAATATATTCTAATGCGTTAAGTGCTCCGACTTCATTATGTGTTCAGGACATTATTTTGTTTCTCCCAATTAGAATTTAATCCCGGAGGAAATGTGACATTAATAAGCTAAATAAATTTATTTCTTCCTAAAAATGTATAGAATTTATGAACGCCACGTCATAGAAAGCAAAAAAAAAAAAACAAAACAACGAAAACAAAGCTGCCCCACGTGACCTATATTCAGAAATAACTTGATCGGGAGCAACTTGCGTCTTGTCGTTGCAGGAAACAAATAACTTACAATTTGAATACACGAACTGTAGGTTTCGGCTCTCAGCGGGAAATCTTCTCGGTGTAAATTTGCGTCAATCTAACAGTAAGTTGAGACGTTGACATTTTCTCGGTCCATTACGACCAAGTATTGACAGCTTAACCCATTACTCATTTATTCAATCTGGTACGTTTATTCTCAAAGTAAAGATGTTTTTTTTTTTAAAGCTGATATTAACGTAACGTTGTCTTATTTCAATGTTTCATTTGAAATAATTTGGATCTAATTGAAATATGTTCCCATTTTGCTGAAATTTAAATTCAAACAATATGATATAATTTTGAATTTTTCCTCCATCAAACAAATTATCATTGCAATAAGCCACAAGATCCAATATTAAGGCGTTGGAGGAAATGTTTTTTTATAAAAAATTACTTATTGACGATCACTTAAAGGTTAAAACTTATTTTCAAAACAATAGTCGTATTTCTGTATCATCATAGTGTTTTTTTTTTATTTTTAGCAATCTAAAACTGTTCGTCGTGTTAGATATTAAATGCTGATGTTCATTTTTAGTAGTCTATTCCTTTTTTTGGTAGTCAGGTACGGTGAAAGTTAGCCACTATGTTATAGTTATAGCAACGTTATTGTAAAAAAAAATAATTTAACTTGCCTCTTGTGGAAATGCTAGTTTTGGTAGCAAAAGATATGTATAGAGAGACTATTCAATTCACTCGTTTGATTAAAGAACTACGAACGCAAAGAGTCATGAGAGAAACAATTTCTAAGTCCAACTATTTCACTTAATATATTTTTATTTTAAACTTTACTTTTTTTTCCCTCTTGTTTGATATTTGGATAAATTGAATGATTAGTTAACATTTATTTATAATTTTATTATCTATTTTCCGTTTCAGATCTCTGGGGACACTCTACTGTTCGCGATATTTGATATACCTCCCTTGCTGAAACGTTGTAATGATTCTTTATTGAAGTGTTATCTCCACCTTGTATCGGAATTGAAATAAATAAACTAAAAATTAAACGATTTAAAAAAAAATAATAATAAAAATAAGATAAACTTAGATTAATATTCTCTTTCTGTTATATCTAACGTGTTGCTTTAGAAATACACATGACGCAACGCGTCGTTGCAAGTGCCTACTATTCCCAATCAAGAAACATACTTTTGATAAATGTAAACTTTAATTCAATTTATAAGTATAAGCAAATAAAAAAGAAAAGATTCTTATTTTTTATTTTTTATCTTATGCTCACATTCAAAAAGAACACACTTGTTAATTTTATGTCAACGACCTTATTGCGTTGAAAAAGTACGTTTCTTCATATTGAATATAAATTTATTGAAAATTCCTAAGATGCTTATTCTTTTCGTTTCATATGTCAATTAGACGCAAATTTTACAAAGAATACCCATAATTACAGCGAATTTATTTTATTATTTGACGTTATAAAAATATATTTTTTGTATAAATTTGGATTTTGTTTACATTCATGAGCTGAGGTAGTCAGATAGTGTTTACCTTCATTAGATTGTCCTTTGTCGTGGGACCGATTTCCGTTTATTAAAAATTTAATGGCGAATAAAATAAAGTAATAAGTTTAAAAAGATATTTGGCCTTTACCGATGCAGCAGGGACGAAACGAAGCCCTGAACATGTTCAGAAAGTGGCTGCCGTAGAGACCATGGCTGTGTTTTCCAACATACCAGTGAGAGTGTTTAAGGACGGCTTCCAATCTGAGAGAAACAACCTCTGGGTATGGTGCGCTCATACTATACCCAGCAGCGAAACCATCGAATGAAGAGCTCCAGGGGCCCTGTGGGACTGCAGCATCTAATTTTGAAGCGGAGCTTATGGTTATTCTCATGGGTCATAGAGAGAGTGTATTACACATTGAAAGAGATGGAACTTCGGGGGACTCGATGTGATCGTTTACTCGGACTCGAGATCTGCCCTTGAGATCTTGAGAAAGAGACCAGGCACCACTTACTAAGTTGACGTCAATTTGATGACGTCAGTGAACTAGGAGGCAAGGTCACAGTGCAGTGGATCCCAGCTCATGTCAACATCAGTGGCCATGAGAGAGCGGACACTCTGGCGAAAACCGGGTAGCCCAGCCTCAGCCAGAACTACCAATAACTTATTTAGGAATAAAGAACTGGCTCGAGGACCATTTCAGGACGAAGTGTTAAAGGCAATGGGCAGACAGCACGACCGTCAAAGGCGCCTTTTCAAACATGTCAACTTCTAGCAAACATGACCCATGGTGGGGGTTAGGCCCCAGACAGCAAAGCTTAGTGACGCAAATGCGCACCGAGCATTACCCCATTGGCACATATTTCTGGTGGCTGGATAACAACAGGTATCCTACCTGACGGCATTGCAGCCTGGTCCTGGAGAGCCCTTTGTGAGAAAAATGGTGTATGACTCAGCTCGGCAGTTGTAGCTGGTAGCCAGTTTACTAGCCGAGGTCTTACTAGAGTGTAATCTCAGACCTTTCACAGAATGTGTGTGGTAGTTAATAGCTTTGAACAGTATCTGTTAACAAAATTAATTTAAAGTTTTCTTTAAAATTGCTTAAGATAAAAATGAATTAAATTATGATTTTTAATGTCTACATTGTAATTTAATGCTAAATGTCAAATACAATTTGAATTTTTCAACAAAAATAAATGTAAATTCTCTCATAAAATATATAGTTATATCCACAAATAGATGTACATAAACGTAACGAATTTTCTCCCTTGATTTAATAAAAACAACTTTTATTAAAACTTTACACCTTTTTTTACATGTAAAAAAAACCTCAAAACACTTTATATGGGTAAAGCGATAGAAATTAAATAGATGTTTACAACCAAATAAGCAATAACTTTTAATCGTGTGTGACCAGCATGTCTTTTCATAAATTAGCCATCGCATATCAACAGTAAAGTACATTAACCTATATTTCGAGAGACCGGCGATTCTATATTCGAAAGTCAACGGTTAGATGTGGGCATTAATGCAAAATGAATTTGCACTTTCCTAAGGCCAATGGAGAAACATGTGCGTAGAGAAGTATATAGCTTCCAGGTGGAAACAAATGTGTTGATTATAGGATTAGGTTGTAATCGTTAGGCATTTAATGAGAAATTAACAGCCATGAAAATATATTACATCATATTATTTCTTGAAGAATGCAAATCTGTTTGTTGTGTAACTTTCCTGCATTAAATATTTTTGTTAAAACTGTTACTATACTGCTTTGAACTATGTCACACCTAGATAAAACTGTCAATTCTAAACAAAACAAAAGAAAAAAGTTGGAAAATCTAGTCATAACTGTCATTTTTTGGGCAAACTAAAAGTGTTATCTATCATTTAATGAAAATGACATGCTCCCTAATTGATATGAGATGTTTGTTAAAAAAATACTAGCTAAAATTAATTTATCAGTATTTTTAGCCAATCATTTTGTTTTTATAAAGTTAACAGAAACATAATATACATCTATACAAAGAAGAACAAAAATTTTTTTTTCAAAATGGTGCAATATTTTTTTTCAAATTGTATTAGCATTCAATGCTACAACTCTTTTTCAAATTTCAACAAAGAAGATTCATACATAAAAAAAGTTTTGGCTATTTGTAGACAACATTTTTATTGAAGGCAATAATGCTTCAAAAGGTCAAATTATGTTTTTAAATATTATTTTTTTACATTGCAAAGTAAAACTTATACTGTAACAAATAATCACTCAGAGAATTACTAATATTATTATTAAGTATTACTTTAGAAAAAAAGTTTAAAAAACAACACATTTTAATAATTAAATTTAATTACTGGTATTTTTTTAGATCACCCATATATCAATCTGGTTTTCTAGTCTTTCACCGAGACGATGCATATAAAAGTGCGAAAACAAATTCTGTCTTTATTAAAATAATAATCTTATAAGAATTGTCTGGACCACAGTCTTGTTTAATTTAGATCTTAAATAAGTCCTACATTCATAATAAAATTCACTCAGTTGAAAAAACTCCTTTTCAGTAATGTTATACCAAGTTTTGAAAACAGAAAGTTTCTTTCTTCCATGTTCCTGAGCACATTGCGT